GTTTTTCATGGTGGCAATAATCTCAACTTTCACCACTATTTTCTTCTAACAATCCCAAACCGATAAACAAAAGCCAACAACCTATTATTGTAGGTTGTTTGACACGTGTCGGCATGTGAGTTCTTAAAAAAAATAAAAAAAAATAAAAAGAAAATGAATAAGACACCCACCTTCTCGAGCCCCAACCACCCCACCACCACCCTCTACCCTTCCCCAACCACTTAACATGAAACAACCCTCCTTCCTAGAACCGGGCATTACCTAAAACCTTGCGTTATGGGCGGTTTTGTGGGGGGGGGGGAGTGGTTTCAAGGGCAAGCACTAGTAGAAAAAACATAATGACAAGCGGTTCAAACACCCTAATGGGAAGCGGTTTTGAACCGCATGCCCTTAAGGGGCTTGCCATTTGGGCTTTTAAATGGCAAGCGGTTCAGAACTGCTTGCCATTTGTAGTGAAAGGGCGGCGGTTTTGGCGCCAAACCGCTGCCCATTATGGCTTAAAAAAAATTATAATTTTTTTCACAGAAATTGATACACAAAAATAAAACATATGCATAAAAATATATATTTCCATAATTAGTTGTAATATTACATTATAATTCTTCCTAAATAAAAGAATTACATTATAATTCAACACAAAAAAAATTACATTATAATTCAACAAAAAAAACTAATAAACACTATTAGAAAAAAGTCACTGCCACCAGCCCACCACCGTAACCATCACAACCACCGCCACCAGCCCACCACGCACCACCGCAAAGCCACCAGCCTTTGACCGCCTTCCTTGAAATCAGCTTCAGATTAACGTTTCTTCGCCCTAGAAAATCAACTTCACCAAAATAAATCACAATCAATACCAAATTCAACAAAAATATTCAACAAATCAACTAATATAAACAAATTCGAAGTCAATCAAACACAAATTTCCAGAAAATATTTAAAAAACAAAAAAAAAACCCTCATCCCCCAGACCACCACGACCTAAACCTCATCACAAAATTAAAAAAAAAATCTACCAAAAATTACTTAAAAAACAAAATAAAATATTAAAAAAAGAACATACCTTGAATTCCACCAAAACCTTGAAATTGGCTTGAAATTTGGGTTTTAATGGTCAAATTCGACCATGCATGAAAACTCTAGTTCTAGAGTTTTCATGGTCGAATTTGACACGAAAAACCATGAAAACCGAAGTTCGTGAAACCGAGAACAAAGCTCGTCAAAGTTGTTGTTGTTGGTGTTGCGGGCGGTGGTTGTTGTTGGTGTTGCGGGCGGTAGAGGAGATCGAAAAGAAAGAAAAAAAAAAGACTCACCATTTTTGTGGGCTGAGGAAGAGGAGCTCGAAAAGAAGGGAATTCATGGTGTAAATACAAAAATTCGCCATGAGAAATAAAGGAGGAGAGAGAAATGAAGGAGATCAAGAATGGAGGGGATGAAACGAGGGAAGAGGAGAAAGAAGAAGAGAGAGAGTGAGCAGGAAGAGAGGAGAGAGAAACGAGCGTGAGAAATAAGAGAGGAGAGAGAAGAAGAAGAAGAGGCGTGAGGAGGAGAGAGAACCCCGCTTTTAGGGTTTTTTAGCAAATGGCAAGCGGTTCAATGTCCAAACCGCTTGCCATTCACATTTTGGCAAGCGGTTCACCCAAAATCTGCATGCCATTTGCTTGTTTTTTAGGTGTTATTGGAAGCGGAATTCATTAACCGCTTGCCATTTGGGGCGTCTCATTACGTTTTTTCTACTAGTGAAGGGTTAGGGGTTATGGCCTGTTTTGGGGGTCGGGCTTGGAGGGGGAGTTGTTTCCGATTTGGGCGGTTGGGGAAGGGGGTTTAGTAGAGGGCGAAGGTGTCGATTGGGGGCTAAAAGGGGGTGTCTTATGGGTCAGTTTTGGAGGCGGATAAGAGATGGGGTGGTATTCGATGGAGCTAGGGAAGAGGGGATGCGGTTGGGGAAAGGGGAGTTATTTCCGACAGTTAGGGCTAGGGATGGGGGTGGCAGACTGGTTTTTTTAGACCAATTAAAGTGTTACACGTGGCATCTTAAGATTTTTTTAAAATAAAAAAACTTTTTCAGCAGATTACCGATTTCGGGATTGTTAGAAGAACCTGAGGTGAAAGTTGAAATTATTGCTGAATAGTCGTAAGTCAGAATTATTCAATGTAAGGCCCTGTTCACTTCACCTTAAAAAAATAATATTAAGTAAAAATAATTTCAGTTCAGTAAAAATAAGTTCAGTTAAGTAAAATTAATTTCACTTCAGTAAAAATAAGTTTAGTTTAATAAAATTTAGTTATTTTAAAGAAGAATTATAATAGAAAATCAGTAAAAATAATTTCAGTTCAGCAAAAATAATTAAGTTCATTAAAATTAATTTAAGTTCAACAAATATAATTTTGTTTCAATAAAAATAATTTTAGTTCAACAAAATAAGGTGAAGTGAACGGAATCTAAAGCGGTTATTAAAATGTATTTTTCCTAAATAAAAAGAAAGTTCCAAAAAAACATAGGGGCTGCAGGGGTTAAGAACTTGTGCCGGAGCAGCTATCAACGTCAACTCTAATTTGACCGGACACCTTCGTGGCCTTCCAATTACGCCAACAACTTTATACAAAATAAAAGTAAACTCGTTTTTTTTTTTTCGTTTATACTAATCAAACCAAAATCTCCTTAAATTCCCATTTTTTTTTTGTCTACCATCTAATCTTGATCTCTCTCTCCAATATATTTTTTCCTACAATTTTTTGGTATTCTTATTATTACTCCATTATCCAATCTATTTTGTGATTTTTAGGGAGTATAAATAGCGAAAAAAAACAAAAGTATTTCCTGAAGATCCGGTTAAAATAAGTACATTTTTTTTTTGGACCGATTTATAATTGCAATTGCAAAGCCCTTTTATTATAAATCATCTATTATATCTGGGTTTTAATCCTTCTTCCTAATGTTGACGTTTTAGCTTCAGGTAATATGTTTCTTCAGCTTGATCTTTCATTTCCATTTAGTAGAAAATATTCGAATTTTCTCAGTAAATTAAATCAATAATGGGTTCCTATTAATTGTCTTTTCTTTTCTTTTATTATCTGGGGTTGTTAAATTTCTGAATCAAATTGTTTTTTGATAGATTTTGGGGTTTGAAAATTTCTCTACTGAATCAATTGGCTGCAATTATGTTAAGGTTGTAAGAATAATACATTTACTGAATTGATTAGCTGCATATTTAAGGTAATTGCATTGCTTAATTTGATGTTGGGTTTTGGAATTAATTGAATTAGCTGTATCTCAATTGGGTTTTAATTTCTTTGTTTTTTGAGTGAGTTTTGTAAGCTTGTTTCCTTAATTTCATGCTCAGTGTGGATAAATTTACCCATATTATTGTGATTGCGGCGATTTAAGGCACTCATCTTTGGGATGTAGAGTTGGGAACTGTTGGAATTGTATGGATTTATTGTACTGGTTAGACTTGAGTGATCATCTGCTATTTTGGTGTTAAGCTGTGACATTTTTGAAAAGTTTAGGTTTTGGTAGCAGTTAGCTGGTGATTTTCTCTTCTCTTGAATGCTAAGAGTTTGTGATCTTCATATAAGTCTTTGAAAATTTTGTCTGTGTGCCGAAACAGCTTCGTGGTCTTTTAAGGGTAATAATGCATTTATAATGACCTCGATAGACTGTTGATGGACGCAGCACATGTAATGGCTCACCTTGCCCCTCTTAAGTTTTCTATTCGAGTGTGGGTTGGGGAAGGTCCTGTAGCTATTTCTGATGTAGTTGCCGCAGACTATTGCTTATCCTTCAATGATAATTAATTGCCTTGTGGCTCTTATAAAAAAAATATAATAAAAAAAAAAACTGTTGATGGACGGGGTTGACTGGTAGGTTGGTGGTGTTATTCTTGTTATTGATCTTGAGCTTCTCTTGCTAACTGCTTCTATTGCTTTTGGATTATTGCTGGGAAGAGACTTATGGCTAATGACCTAGGGATTGATGGACAGGTACAATGTCGAAGATGTCCGTGAATATTTGATGATGGACTCGGCCTTGTTCATAACCTTTGAAGGAATTATCGGCTTTAGGACTCTGCAACTTCAGGAAGACTGTATATTTGATTAAGTTGACATAAGGAATCTTGGACAACATGGGAGAGTGGGTTATTGGAGCCTTCATTAATCTTTTTGGAAGTATTGCTATAAACTTTGGAACTAACCTTCTCAAATTAGGTCATACAGAGGTATGATGTTAGAGTTTGTTTTTATATTGCCGTTTTTCATCAGTCATGGTCCAAAAGTTCTGTAAGCTTAGCATGAAAACTTTAGTTAGAAATTGTAAGTTTGAAAAAAAAAGGAAAATTTGCCAAGAATAATACCACCTTTCATCGGTATTCCAATAATAGAACCACCTTTAGATTATCTCAAAATAACACGACCTTTGACACACATCTTCTATAAATAGAACGTGACCTGTTGGTAACCTGTTTAATAGGTTACTTGTGACATGTGTCACAATGTGATTAGTCTTTTTTTTTTATATCAATTTTCCATTTTTTAAAATAGCCCCCCTAATCGGAAACCACCAGCGTGGGGCCCCCTCTTTTCCCCCGTCTCGTCCTCATCCGCGTTTCCGGCCCCCTCCCCTCTCCATCCTCGATTCCGGTCTCTCTACCCCGTCTCCGATTTCGGTCCCCCTTCCCTACCCTGTTCCCGATTCTGAACCCCCTCCCTTCCCTACCCAGATTTCGACACCCCCCCTCCCCTTCACGCAAGCTTTCTCTTTCTATTTCGGTTGGTAGGGGATAAGGTTTCGATCTCTCTTTCTTTTCCGGCAGGTGGTTGAAAAGGTTTTAATCTCTCTCAATTTTCCAGTAAGTGAGGGAAATGGTTTGGGAGGCGATTTCGAGGGCAGAGTGGTGGTTTTAACGCGGTTTCAAGGGCAGGGCGATGATTTTGAGATAGTTTTAAGGGCGAGGCGGTGGCTTTGAGGCGATTTCGAGGGTGTGGGTGGGGATACATGGCTGTTCGAGTGTGGGGGTGGGATGGAGGGCAGTTTCGAGGGTGAGGCTGTGGAGGGGGGGTTGTTCTCGGTGAGTGGTAGGCTAACAGGGGAGGATCTGAACAGGGAGGCCGGGGGAGGGGGAAAGGGGAGTGGAGGTGGAGGGGGGCTACTAAACAGGAAGATGGTTTTTTATTTATTTAAATTTAAGGTTTTTCTATTAAAAAAATTAACAAATTACAACGCGACACGTGTCCAATGTAACCTATTAAACAGGTTACCGGTTTTTTGTTCTATTTATAGAAGATGTATGTCAAAGGTCGTGTTATTTTGAGATAATCCAAAGGTGGTTCTATTATTGGAAGACCGGTGAAAGGTTGTATTATTCTTGGCAAATTTTCCAAAAAAAAAATTGTGAACACAAATGTAACACTTTTGTAGTTCTACTTTTACTTGTAGGTTTGCTAATGCACAACTTTAACCAATAATATATTTTCTATTACTTTAAAGTATATTTTGAAAATATATATAGAGACAAATCCAATGACACTGTACGTGATATTTGTTTCCCCTCCATATTAGCTAAAAATATGGTTAAAGTGAGTTTTGTGGATAGTGTACAAAGTCAAAGTGAAAGAACTAATGCAAAACGGAGGGAGAGCAATATTGTATCCATCATATTTTATAAATTTTCCAAGGTAAAAGGTTGCTGTAAAGTTTGTTGGTGTGTGCCAAGGTAAAGGTTTCTGTAAATTTGTAGGTGGTGTGTTGAGAGATTCAAGCCATACAACTTATTCTTTGGCTAGTCATAATTAATAGTCTCAATTGGTCAATTAAATGTATAAATTTTCTCTTCCAACCCTCTATTATTTAATTTATTTTGGCCATTCAATGTAGTAACTGCTGGTTTTGAGCCTTGTTACATCTGTTGCTATTTTCAATGTGGAATGGGTTAGTCTCTTGAGGCTGAGAAAACATTCTCTATGCTAAGACACATGTACAGAGTTCAAACATATAACTTTATCTTGCCTGTATGGTAGTCCAGTCAATCTGATACAGATGTCCACAACTCCACATACCTGTATTCAATATTAGCTGTCCCTTAAACTTTATTTTTTTTTGAATTGCGTTGGTTTGGGAATGTAAGACGGAGACCCCAGGGTGCACCGGTACGAAGAGTGGAAGAGTGGGATCATGGACAACTTAAACAAGAGGGAGACTGAAAATGACTAGGTTGGAAGGAGTTAGGAAGGATATGAAGCAAATGGATTTGCATGAGAATAAAGTATTTGATTGTAAGGGATGGATGAAGAACATTTTTGTGTATGACTATATGGAATAATCACCTTTGCCCCACTTATGGGATTAAGGCTTTAATTGATTGATTGCTATATAGCAATAATAACTTCTTAGAGAAATTTATTCTGGAAAGGGGGAGTACTTTTAAGGCCTATGGTTTGGCAAGATATCTTATGGTGTCTGGATAAAGCAACTGTGTACTTGAGCATGCATTATGAGATGATCTGGAAGGTGTTTAATAATATAATCAAGTTTTTTGAGATTGATTGAAACCTTTTGCAACATTAGTTTCTATTACCTTTTCACAGCATTTTTCAATGATCATTTACGACCTTAAATGAATATATGCAGAGAGAGAGGTTTTTACTCGAGAATAAAGACACTAGTGGGAAGGCTTTATTGAAGCCTGTCTCTCATTTTCAGACGTGGAGAGTTGGTCAGATATCTCTGCACCTCTTTTAATTTAATATCCAAGGTATTTCTGCTTATAATATGATCTTTTAAACAAATGTGCAGGTATTCTATTTTTTGCTTTTGGAAACTGTCTCAATTTTTTCTCATTTGGATATGCTGCTCAGGTTAGTTAGCTTGATAAGCAAATGGATCCTAGTTACACGCTTATACTAATTAAATGACAAGTAAATAACTACTGCTATGTATATAATGTAAATAATTGGCTTCCACTTCATGATTTCATATTACCCTAGCTAATTTTGTTATTTTAGTGATTCTCTCTTTCCCCACCCTGATTTTTTTTCTTCATATTTCTTTGTCTTTGACAGTCACTTCTTGCAGCTCTAGGATCTGTTCAGTTTGTCTCAAACATCGCGTTTGCGTTCTTCGTTTTGAACAAAAAGATTTCAGTAAAGTAAGCTTGTCTTAATTGGAGATTGTCGCCATCAGATGCATTATTTCAGCTTACCAGCTTTATTTTTCTGTTTTGCACTTCTGCAGGGTATTGGTAGCCACAACTTTTATTGTTCTTGGAAATGTTTTCCTTGTTGCCTTTGGCAATCACCAGTCACCTGGTACTGTCTCAGTTTAGTTTCAAGAAATTCAATCCTTTTGGCTGATCTGTATAATAAAGTCTTTGAACTTTGAAGTATTTTTTGTTGTTGATTGTCAACAGTAACGGACTATTCAGTTAATTAGAATCTTAATCTAATTGTTTTACATTTGGGTTGACTGTGTGCTGTAATGCCTACTACCTAATTACCACCTCTTTTTGAAATTGATGTATGCTTTATTAGATCCTTGCACAGAGTCTTTAAATTATTTATTCTTGGACAATTTGCTGTGAAAAGAATTATGAATTAAAGCAGGTTTCTCTTCATTTATGTGGTGTTTGAGGCTTCCTGTAAACTAACCAGCTTGACTGTGACTAGGGTGGCATAGTATGGTTAATATCTCTATACCCACATACATTGGGTTTAATGATATTATTTCCTTCTTTAGTATAGATTGCTGCAAGCTATATTTCTTTGATAATCCATTAATGACTAATAAGAGAACAGGAACTTTATTCTTTTTCACGCTTGTCCTTTCTCTTGATAAGATTGTGTTTAGCCTTTATGTCTGGGCAGGAATCATGTTGTAAATTGTGTTGTAACTCCTAAATGTAGGTGATCACACAAGAACTTATTAGATTTCTCGGGTTTGTTAAAACTAGAAAGATTGTATATAGTTGAGAAGGTAAGCCAGGACATGGACTGTATGCTTAAGCTTAGCTATGGATCAAAATAAAATGTCCAATTCTGCTGTATGTATCTCACAAACATTATTTTAGTATAGCATAAATATGGTTTAAGATGATGCAGTTTGTGTTGGATGTATTTGGATTTGCTAGTCTAAAGCTTCCCTGTTCATCATGGTTATAAGTGGTTGAATCTGTTAATTTAATGAATGAGCTTCTCCATGCAATTGTTTATGCTCGAATGGTCTTTGATTCATTTTGCTTGTTTCAGTGTATACACCAGAGGAGTTGGCAGAGAAGTATAGCAACATAACATTCCTACTTTACTGCTTGACTTTGGTAATTGTTGTTGCCTTTCATCACTATCTCTACAGGTCAGCTAACTGAATCTCACAATGAGCATGTATCTTTTAGAGCATGTATTAACTTCTTTCCAATTTATATAGTAACTGGCAAGACTCTTCTGCCATCCAATTTTAATTTAATTTTATCTGGATTTGCAGAAGAGGAGAATTACTTGCAACTTCTGGGCATCAAATCAAAGCCTATTGGCAAATGCTGCTTCCTTTTTCCTATGCAGTTGTTTCAGGCGCAGTAGGATCTTGTTCTGTGCTGTTCGCTAAGTCTCTGTATGATATCTTTGCAACTTTGATCACCTTTATTTATTTTATGATGGTTGACAAATATGGTACTGAGATGGTTTGATTTCTTTGCTTTGGCAGCTCTAATCTTTTGAGATTGGCTATGTCCAGTAACTATCACTTGCATAGTTGGTTCACATACTCCATGCTTCTACTGTTTCTCAGCACAGCTGGTTTCTGGGTAAGGATTATTGAAACCACCCTCTTAATGCAATATTTCAGTATGCTGTGTTGCCTTAATGCCTCAGTCCCGATTAATTCTCTTATATCGTTCCAGATGGCTAGGTTAAATGATGGACTGGCCTTCTTTGATGCAATTGTCATAGTTCCCATGTTTCAGATTGCATGGACTTTTTTCTCTATTTGTACTGGATTTGTTTACTTTCAGGAATATCAGGTGCTTTTCTCTCTCCTGTCACTTTGTTCTATTCTTATGAGACATACAATCCTTTTGTTTTCATATCCCTCCTCTTCTTCTCGCTCTTTGCTCTCCCTCTCCCAAGGGGTGGATGTTGAATAGACATTTTGTTACTTTATAACTATTTACAAGTTCAGATAGAGAATTTATTTTATTGCCTTGAGCAGGTCTTCAATACGTTACGGACAACAATGTTTATTCTGGGCATGATGTCTGTGTTCGTAGGCATTACTTTGCTTGCTCCAGATGAGGTTAAAGGTATTCTTATTGATTGTGGGTTAGTATTTTATTTGAAGTCTGCAATATAGAGACTAGGCATTAATCATGTTTGACTTGAACATTGAATATTCTTAGGTGGTGAAGTCAAAGATGGTTCCTTGGATGCTATCACATCTCCAAGTGTTGCAAATGATGAGGAAAGGTAAACAAAATGATTCAACTTTGCTGGTCCGTATGTAGGGCTAGTTTGATCTGATTACTAGGGCTGTTACTTTTCTGCCTTCCATCATTTGGAGTATTTGGACTGTCTGCTAGTCGTTTTGTTTACTAATTTGGGGGGTAGAAACTTATGCTTTTTTACTGGCATCAGGTTGTTGGTTACATCACTGGAGGATACTCAAAACAAAGAGGTGAAGCCAATTTTACGAATTATGTTAACCAAGGCTGTAGATGTCATGCTCAAAGCAAAGGTGCACTTTTGACATTCTTTCTAAAGTTGACCTTCTTATATGAATTTATAATTTGAAGAAGTATTGCTCAAATCACTGTAATTAGTCTTAGTTAATATTTTTATTATTATAGTGACTATACTTCTGTAGTACTGCACTACTGTCTTGCAACAAAAATTAACTGTTTCTTTCCTTGCAGACTACTTGCTTATTAGCATTAGGAATGGGAGAAAATTCGATGAATGCATCTTCCGTTTTTGTGATGCCTATGTTATCCTCAAAGCTAACTGGATTTAGAGGCGGCAGTACTGCTGACCGGACCAAGTTTTTCCTGATGAGAGGTAATGGTTGGGATAAGATCCCAATGGACGAGGATAAACTGCTGGAGACAAGCTCACTGGTCTCGCAGAGTGTGTGATAGAATTAGTTGTGTAAGTCCCCAATAATCTTTTACACTATTTTTCTGGTGTCACACTTGACACCCTCTTATTGTTAAAATCTGTAGGTCACTAGAGTGGTGTATAAATATATCTTCCTTTCGAGTTTGTTGTAGCCTGAAGTCAAAATGTATTTTAAAGTTGTACATACTCAGTTCTCGGAAACACGAGATTCGTTGTACTATAAATTTTCAAGTAAATATGTCATAGAAATTGATGTTTCAATTTTCGAAGTAAATGTATCCGAATTCTCAGCACTCTCCTCCAACTGCATACCGTGAAGTCTTTGTTGACTAGCAAAATTTCTTGTTCTGGCGGCTTTTGAATGCTAACTCTCTAGATTGAACATAGTTGAGTTTACTTTTACTTTCCTATGATAGGTTTGTAATAAATGTTCATACAAATCTGGGTTGTTCAGTGTTTTCTTTTTCATTACACGTCTATCTCATTAAGGAAAACATATCAAATGGAAGGAAGAAAAAGTAAGCCTAAAAACTTTGAACTAATATATGAAGATAAGTAAACTCTTTTAAGAATCTACAATTCCAGATTTTTTGTGGATGTGGTTGTGGACTTGTGATTGAAGATTTGCAGAGCAGTGTCATTGCTCCACCTTCTAGACTGCCATTACTTCTAGTCTTCTGTTGCAACGTGACCATGCAAACGCCTAGAGCTGTTATTTGAAAATGGGGCTTTTGAAACCGACTCGAATCGATAATTGTCCAATTACTCAATAAATAAGCCAATGTGCAACCTCAAATTTACACATCTTTTGTATACTCCCATCGTTAAAAATGTAACTTTTGATCAAATAAATTCTTTTCTCATTTTTTCATGTTCACCTTTAATCGACCAATCTCCCTTATACTTATTTTTTATTACGTAATAACTTTTTAAGTACAAGCATTGAAAAACAAATGAAATTTATGAGTTACTAAACAAAAAAATAAATAAGAACAGCTAATGAAACAAGAGGAATTTGTCATACTGAAAAAGCATCCAGAACTAGCAAGACACGCTGGCTAAATTCTTAGAATGGTCTTCGATATTTCCTACATTCTGCCAATTTCGTAATTCAATTACCCATTTCCAAGATTCATCTTTAAACACCTTAACTCATCAAATTTGTCTAAGTCCAAATTTTCATAAACGTGTCATTCACCCTGAAAATGACCGTTAGAAAGTAGATCATCATAAACTTTTACAAGAACAAACACAAATCATGAACTGTTAAACCAGCCGAACTTCCTCTTTTCTTCTAGAAAAATCTCTAACAATTAAAATAATTGTGATTTGAAAAACCCAACAACAAAACCCAGAAAACAAAAAAAAAAAAAAAAAAAAAAAAAATGGAATTGGAAATCAAAGTATTGTGGTGTAAAGGTTTATCATCATTCAATTTCTTTCAAAAACTCACAGTTTATGCAGCTGTTTCAATAACCTCTGAAAATGAGAAGCTACTACTCACCCAAGACCAAAATCAGGAACAAAAAACTATTGTTGATGAAGATGGGGATGGTAATCCAGAATGGAATCATTCCATGAAGTTCGATTTACGCCCTTTGAAATCATTCATCCCTAATTTTGAAGATTTGTGTCTTCTACTCGAGCTGCGAAATCACGGACAGTTGTTTGGGGATAAAACTATTGGGGAGGTTCGTGTTCCGTTGACGGAATTGATTCAATCTGTTGGAGGTGAGATTGCCAGATTTGTTAGTTATGAGGTGCGTAGTCCTGAAGGTAAACATAATGGTATTCTTGATTTTTCTTATAAGGTTATTGGTAATAATACAACTTATAATAGTGGTAATATTAATTCAATTCATAATACTATTACTGGATACAACCATCATCATTGTGGTCATGAACAAGAATATGAAAGTCATGGACATGATATAAATTCTGATACTCATGTCATAGGACACCATCATCATCATCATCATCATCACCATCATCATCATTCACAATTGGATGGTAATACGAATTCCAATAATGAATACCATCATCATCATTCGCAATTGGATGGTAATAATACAAATTCAGATACTCATGTCATACGATATAATCATCATCATTCGCAATTGGATGGTAATGCAACAAATAATACAAATTCAGATGTTCATGTCATGGATTACCAACATCATCATCATTCGCAGTTGGATGGATCTCCTTCAGTAGTGATTCAGTACCCAAAGATTGATTTGGAGGAACATTTAGCTCCGCCATTGGTTTATCCTCCTCCCTCATCATCATCATTTGCAGCAAATTCTACCCATTATCCTCCTGCTTCTGCTGTATACCCTCCGCAACCACCACAAACGTGGGCCGATACTCCACCGCCGATGTCCCATTATCCACCACCACAGCCTTATGTTTATCCGCCACCAACAAGGCCTCCGCCACAACAGCAACCCTATGGGGTCCCACATTGGGGGTATCAAAGGCCTCCTGACTATCATCATTGGTAAACATAATAGTCAAAGTGTTAGGATCCAACCTCTTTCATCATGTATTTTGCTTTCTTATGTCTTTATTTAGCTTATGTTAAACTTTCAATGTATTCGTGTAAGTAGTTTAGGCGCTAGAGGAGATTATTGTGTTACTGTCATTTCAGTGTTCACTAATATTTCTCCATGTAAGCAATATAAAGCTCTATATGGAGCGATGGTTGAATGAATGAAAAAGCTCCTATTCGGGTTGCCTTGCTTTAAGACTTGTGTGTTGATTTAAGCCTTTATAGATATTGTGCTTGCCTTGTTTTAAAGCTCCCCACCAAACCAAGAGACTCTCAAAGACGCCTACATCCTTGTCGGTTCCGCTTGTGTCCGCTTCGAAGTATCGACCGTCACAAGCCCCGACCCTGCACTCGTTACTAACGATTGCCTCATTGAGATACCTTTGGTCCGTGTTGCTGTGTGCCCACGAACCTCTCTCACTCTAGGCTTGCGTTCTTGTTTCTAAAAGATAAGAGCGCGCCGCACGATCCGGTGTCAAACCACTCGGACCGTGACAGTTGGTATCAGAGCCAACGCTGCATCGTTGCCTAAACTCGTGTTCAAGTAGCACGCCAGTGATGGAAGATAATCTTGAATACACCTTCGAACAACGGCTGGCCTGGCTTGAGGGCAAGTCCGAACAATGGGCCTTCCTAGAGGAAAGGGTGCCCAAGCTCGAAGATATTGTGATTAAGCAGGATAATGAAATCAGCATTCTACGTTCCACAGTAGATGGACTGTTGGAGCAACTGAATTGTGTCCAGGCACTAGCTGATGAGGCACTCGACAAGTGTGCCACTATGCATGCTCCTCAAGGCTTTGGGGGCAGTGGGGGTGCAAAGATAAAGCCGCCCAAGCCCCAAACCTTTGATGGGGCAAGAGATTCGAAGCAAGTCGACAACTTCATCTTTGACATGGAACAATACTTCCGGATTTGTCAAATAGAGGATCCCTTCAAGGTGGATACTGGCACCATGTATTTAGTGGAGGACGCGAAGTTGTGGTGGCGCACCAAATATGCCGACATTCAAGCAAAACGAATCACGCTTGATAGTGGGGAGGATCTCAAGAAGGAGATCAAGAACCAGTTCTGCCCGGATAACACTGAGTTCGTGGCTCGCACAAAGTTAACCACCCTACACCACAAGACTTCCATTCGAGAATATGTGAAGGAGTATTGTGCGTGCATGTTAGAGATCCAAGATATGTCAGAGAAGGATCGATTGTTCAACTTTGTGCGAGGTTTGAAGGATTGGGCGCAACGTGAGATTTGGCGCCAAAAGATAGACACTCTAGCCGGTGCTATAGCAGCAGCTGAGAAGTTAATGGATTACTCACCCGATAAGGGCCCTAATCAGAAGAAGGGGAACAATGGACAAGCAACAACCACTCCTAGAAGCCAACACCCCGCCTCCCAATTTAGCTCAAACAATGTTGGGAGTAGGTACAACAAGATTGTGGGGGACGACTCTAGAAGGAGTGGAGCTTCCTCTTCATCAAGTAAGGGAAGCACATCAACCTTCTCAACGGGGAACAGACCCCTAACATGCATTCTCTGTCGGGGCCCTCACAAGTGGTTCGAATGCCGTCATAAGGGAGAAAAATCGATAGTCTCCAAAAGAAGTTATCGGCGATGACGGTGGAGTCAAAACAGACCGAAGAAGCATGCGAAGTAGAACCTGATGAGGAAGAGCCCTCAAGGCTGGGCGCGGTGCACATGTTGTACGCCATGGGAAAGGAAGAGCCCGAGGAGAGGTCCAAAAACACTGAGTTGATGTATGTAGAAGTGTTGGTGAATGGGAGGAGGGGCAATGCGATGATTGACACCGGGGCCACCCATAACTTCATATCCCAAGGAGAAGCTCGAAGATTGGGGCTGAAGCCGATTCAAGAAGGGGGTAGTATGAAAGCTGTTAACTCAGCTGCCAAGCCAGTTCATGGGGTTGCAAGGAACATCCCAACAAAGCTGGGGGACTGGAGCGGAAACCTGGATTTCACTGTAGCCACCATGGATGACTACCTTGTACTCGGTATGGACTTCCTACGTGCAAGTAAAGCTGTCCCGATGCCCCATCTGGGGTAGTATTAGTAGCTGGACAACAGCCTTGCCTCCTCAAGACTTGCAAGATGAGAAAAGGGTCTAAAGGCCCCTCCTTTCGGCAATGCAACTAAAAAAGGGGTTGAAAAGGAACGAACCCACATTCCTTGCTACTCTATCAGTGAAAGAAGATGAAGCCCCTCATGAAATCCCCGCAGCTTTAGATAAGCTTCTCACGGAATTTGAGGACCTCCGCCCCAAAGAGCTCCCAAAGGTGCTTCCTCCTAGGAGGGCTGTGGATCACGAGATTGAACTTGTTCCTGGTTTGAGGCCCCCTGCTCAAGGCCCTTACCGTATGGCCCCTCCCGAGCTAGCGGAACTTAGAAAGCAACTGGAAGACTTACTAGAGTCAGGATTCATCCGCCCCTCGAAAGCTCCTTATGGAGCTCCCGTGCTCTTCCAGAAGAAACAAGATGGGAGCCTCCGATTGTGCATAGACTACCGAGCCCTCAACAAGGTCACAGTGCGGAATCATTACCCCATTCCGTTGGTGGCGGACTTGTTCGATCAACTAGGGGATGCAGTGTTCTTCACGAAGTTGGATATGAAATCTGGCTATCACCAGGTTCGCATTGCTCAAGGAGATGAACCGAAGACCGCATGTGTGACGAGATATGGAGCATTTGAGTGGCTAGTTATGCGTTTGGATTGACCAATGCCCCCGCAACCTTCTGCACCTTGATGAATCAAGTGTTCCATGAATTTCTCGACAAATTTGTAGTGGTGTACCTGGATGACATTGTAATTTATAGCAAGACCTTTGAAGAACACCTCGACCACTTGAGAAAAGTGTTTGAGAAGCTGCGAAAACATCATTTGTTCGTCAAGCGAGAAAAATGTGCTTTCGCCCAAGAAGAAGTTGGGTTCTTGGGACACTTTGTAGGTAAAGGCCGCATACGGATGGATCCAAAGAAGATACAAGCAATTCAGGATTGGAAAGATCCAAGGAACACTTCCGAGCTTCGGTCCTTTCTAGGCTTGGCAAATTATTACCGCAGATTTATCAAGGGATACTTCGAGTTAGCCAGTCCCCTCACCGACCTCTTGCAGAAGGATCGTCGTTGGGAATGGTCAGAGAAACAGCAAAAAGCTTTTCAGAAATTGAAAGATTCAGTAGTGAGAGAGCTAGTCCTCGCTCTCCCTAACCCCAACAAACCTTTTGAAGTAGAGACAGACGCTTCCGATTTTGCCTTGGGAGGAGTACTACTCCAAGATGGCCATCCCATCGCATTCGAGAGTTGGAAGTTGAACAGTACGGAAAGGAAGTACGCAGCACAAGAAAAGGAACTCCTAGCTATTGTGCACTGCCTTAGGGGCTGGAGACATTACTTGTTGGGCTCGAAGTTCATTGTCCGCACCGACAATACTGCTGCAACCCACTTTCTCTCTCAGCCTAAGTTGACGGGAAGACAGGCTCGATGGCAAGAATCCTTAGCTGAGTTCGATGTAGAATTTGCATACAGGACAGGGGCTAGCAACAGGGTAGCAGATGCGCTGAGCAGGCGAGAAGACCTGGCACCCCTACAAAGATTAGCCCCTTTAACTTCAAGAAACGTCGCTACCTCTGTGCGTGATCAAGTCAAAGCTTACTTAGGAGATGATCCGATGACAGGAACCATCAAGAAACTGATTGAAGAAGGGAAAACTAGACGTTTCTGGATGGAAGACGGACTCGTCTACACTAAAGGAAAGAAACTCTTCATCCCTAGAGCAGGTGGTTTGAGAAAGATGCTCTTGAGGGAATGCCACGACACGCTATGGGCAGGTCATCCGGGTTGGCAAAGGACACTCAGCTTACTGAGCACAGGATACTATTGGCCGGGGATGAAAGAGGACGTGATGAACTACACAAGAACTTGTCTGGTGTGTCAACAAGACAAGGTCGACCGACAGAAATCCGGTGGGCTCCTTGAACCGTTACCAATCCCTACTCGCCCTTGGGAGAGTGTATCCATGGACTTCATCAGTGGCCTCCCAAAGGTGGACCAGCTCTCCGCAGTAATGGTGGTTGTAGATAGATTCTCAAAATATGCTACCTTCGTTCCAATGCAAAAGGCATGTGGTGCTGAAGAAACTGCCTCATTATTTTTCAAGCACGTTGTGAAGTATTGGGGACTCCCCAAGAGTATAGTGAGCGACAGAGACACGAGATTCACAAGCATATTCTGGTCAGAGTTGTTTCGGATGATGGGGTCAGAACTCAATATGTCATCAAGTCATCATCCACAATCAGATGGGCAGACGGAGAGATTCAATGGGTTACTTGAAGAATATTTGCGCCACTTCGTCAGTGCCAATCAGAAGGATTGGGTGAGACTCCTCGATGTAGCTCAGCTTTGTTTCAACGCCCAAAAGAGCTCCTCATCAAACAAGAGCCCTTTCGAGCTGACCATGGGCCAACAACCTCTCTTGCCTCACACAGTAGCAGACACCGAGGCCGGACGAAGTACTCAAGCTCGAGAATTCAAAAGGGAGTGGGAGCAAAACACAGAGATTGCTCGGGCCTACTTGGAGCGAGCAGCTAGGATAATGAAGAAGTGGGCTGATCAAAACAGAAGACCGTTGGAGTTTGATGTTGGGGATATGGTGATGGTGAAAGTGTTACCCGAACAATTGAAGTTTTTGAGAGGAAGAGATTGAAGATTGATTTGAAAATACGAAGGCCCCATCCGCATCATAAAACGGATAGGGAAGAATGCGTACAAGGTCGAACCTCCAGCATGGATGAAGATACACCCAGTTTTTCACGTCAGCCGCCTCAAGCCCTACCACCCAGATCAAGAAGACTCAAGCCGCAACATCAGCAACCGAGCCAGCATCAGGAGCAGACAGCGCATCACCACTTCAGCAGAGACCTAAGGATCAAGAACTTTAGTCTCCTTAGTCATATTTTGTAAGTCGACGAGGACGTCGACAGCTTAAGTGGGGGAGGATGCTAGGATCCAACCTCTTTCATCATGTATTTTTCTTTCTTATGTCTTTATTTAGCTTATGTTAAACTTTCAATGTATTCGTGTAAGTAGTTTAGGCGCTAGAGGAGATTATTGTGTTACTGTCATTTCAGTGTTCACTAGTATTTCTCCATGTAAGCAATATAAAGCTCTATATGGAGCGATGGTTGAATGAATGAAAAAGCTCCTATTCGGGTTGCCTTGCTTTAAGACTTGTGTGTTGATTTAAGCCTTTATAGATATTGTGCTTGCCTTGTTTTAAAGCTCCCCACCAAACCAAGAGACTCTCAAAGACGCCTACTTCCTTGTCGGTTCCGCTTGTGTCCGCTTCGAAGTATCGGCCGTCACAAGCCCCGACCCTACACTCGTTACTAACGATTGCCTCATTGAGATACCTTTGGTCCGTGTTGCTTTGTGCCCACGAACCTCTCTCACTCTAGGCTTGCGTTCTTGTTTCTAAAAGATAAGAGCGCGCCGCACGATCCGGTGTCAAACCACTCGGACCGTGACACAAAGTATATCAAAAGTACTTGGTCAATAGAAAAGTTAGCATCTTATATAAGTTATAACCACGAGGTTGTGGAATCAAAGGGAGAGTGACGGATAACTCAAGTGGTTAGAGTTTCCCTCCCGGTGTGACTCTCTATACACTTAAAAGTTTGTGGAATCAAGGGGCATAACCGGCTTGCCTCTTAACCCGTATAGGTTGTAGTAGTCGGATAAGGGCCCTTTTTTACCAACAAAAATGTAATCTCTATGTCACAACTCACAAGGCAGATGATTTCAAGGTTATGATATTTTTGGATCACAATTTTGTAAGCCTTGAGTTTTCTTTGAATGACAAATCAAATTTAAACATTGTTGGACACAGTAAGTCAGTTTTTCTAAATGCGGTAACCCCTGATTATTTTTTGCCCTTTTTGTTGTTCAATACACATCTTAAAATGTTTATGTTTTCACTTTCATATACAAGTAACAATATAAAATGTTAATATTAATTAAAAATAGAATGAGACGAATCGATATTCGTCTGTCTCTCTATGGTGGAGTGTCTCTCTATGGTGTAATCATTAATTTTTGTTAGTTTAGTTGTTTGTTTATGTTTAAGGTTTGTTTTTGTGGTAGGGTTTATAAAAAATGTAATCATCTTTTGCCCTATTGTCAGTTCTTTGGTGAAGATTTGTTTGTGATTGCAACAGTTGTCAAGTTTTCAAACTTGTTCAAGCCAATCAGATGAGAATCATCCTTACGGCTACAACAAATGGTTAGGCCGTGTCTCTTCAAAAAAGCTGTATATTCAAGCAATGTGTACCACCATGCAAGATATTTTTTCAACAATCGTAGCTCTGATAAAGGAAAACCTAATTTGATTCAAATTTATGTACTCCCTCCGTGTTTTTTTTTAAGTGACACACTTTCCTTAAACGACCGTTTTTTTTAAGTGACACACTTCCTCTTTTAGAAATTCCTTACATTTTAATAATATATCTTCACCCCACTATCTCTTACTTTGTCATTTCTCACTCCTTTCATGGCTCTACTTCCTCTCGCATTCTTTTACTTTATCATTTCTCACTCCTCCAACCTACCCCACTAACATCTTATGTTATTAAAGTCAATAAAATCTCCTAAAACTACGTGTCTGTCAAACTGTGTCACTTAAAAAAACACGGAGGGAGTATTTGTTAATTTAGATTTCATTTGTAGATGATAGATGACTTTTTATTAATGAACTAATTTATTTACCAAAAAAAAAAAAAAAATTGAGACGAATAAAACAAGATCCTAAATGGCTATCTTTTCTTTTGTAAAATAATGGAAATTTATGATCAAAGTTTTCAAATTTTGACCCACATTTTAACAATGGGGCAAAAAAATAGGGACAAGGGAGCAGTAAGAATTGTAATTATTGTTGGGTTTCGGTGAGTCCAACCCATAGCGGAAAGAAACCCGACCCAAAACCAAACTTACAATAATTATAACCATAAAGCATAATTAACATAAACACAAGACTAAGTAAGAGACTAATACCTT